AAACCATGCTGACCATGGTTGTAAAACTTACTCTAGTATAATCCATTCAAAATGTTTCCTAAAGCCTGCTTTTTTTTTTTTTTTTTAAAGATTTATTTATTTATTTATTTATACAAGCACTGGGTACAGTCAGAAGCGCGGGAGGGTGAGAGAATTCACCAGAGCCAGAGCAGGACACAGAACAGGCAGACTGACCAAGTATACTGCTGAGGGGAGCAGCGGGCGGCAGGAGAGGTCTGCGCGCCATGTGGGACCCTCGCCCGGCGGCCGGGGATCAAACTGGCGCTGCCGAGGCTGCGGGCAGCTTTGCAACCCAGCGCTCAACCGATGCGCCACCAGGGAGGCCCTCCTAAAGCCTGATTTTTATAAATTTTTATTTTCTTAGAGTTTACATTAACTTAAGTCTATAAAGATAGTGTATGCATGCTATAGTAAATCTGAAAATTAGAGAAATATACATAGAAATGCAAAAGTCCCCCATAACCCTGCCACTAGAAGCAATTTTTTGTTAACATTTTCGTTGATTTTTAGACTTTTTGCAAAACATTTTCTCCCTCCGAGATCTCAATGGAGTTGTAATTTTGTGTCCTCTATTTTTCCCATTTCACTATAGAATCTTTCTGGGACATCCCTTTGAATAGTGGTATAGTCTTCCTCTGTACAGTCGTGTGCCTAAACTGTAAAAACATTTTCTAGAAGGGGAAAAAAAGGGTCTTTTGTTTTACTTGGGAGAGAAGACACCAGAGCCACCTGCAGCTGGTTGGGCTGCTGAAGGCAGTGGCAGCTTTTGAGGTATAAAAGCATTAATAGTAGAAAGCACTAGATCTGCCCTCTGAGAGCACATGGTCACCACTAGAACAGGTTTCTGGATTTCCAAGTGCAAATTCTTGCAGAATTTCATTGAGAATATTGCAAACCTATTACTTTCACAAGGAAATGATTTCAATTTTCTGACTTTCATTTAAATATCTCCTGTCACATCTACATCTTTAAAAGTCTTGTTTTAGAAAACATGGCCTTGTGGTTAAATACTGCCTTCCTGCCTATCACAAAGTGTTCTGAGAAATCAACAAGTAATTAAGGAAAGATATTTATTAATAAATATATATATGATGCAATTTCCAGACATACATGAACAATGTTGGAAAAAAGTTCAGATATGTCTCTGCTCACAGAATATTCGTTGCATTGACTTTGTACTTAACATTTTTTAAATCTTCATTATTCATCCTTGTTTTGGTCATTCTTGCCTAAACGTTTAATTCTATTGAAGTTTCCTATATTTGTTATTAAACTTCTTTACCCTCTGGTCTGGGGTTTTTTTCCTTTCATAAGCCACCAGGACCAAACAGAAAACACCCTGAAATGCAAACAGTCTCAGAATTATTACACCTATTACTTTTTATTAGTAGTAAAAAAAAGGGGGGGGGCAAGGAACAATTCTATTTATGCAGAGCATAGAACATAAATAATAATAAAACATTAAAACTACTTGCATGATATTCATTTAATTCTAATAAAAAGTAGGTTTAGGTATTGCCTCAATGATAGCAAACACGGTGCAGTTTTGTTTTTGACCAGTATTTATATCCAAAAAACATTTTGGTTCAGGAAATAAAGTAGTGATAAAAAATTACAGTCTTTGAATATTGGGCTTTCACTAGTCCCCTGCTGCCCTTTATTGTATGTTTCAGTAAAATACAGTACATCTTGCTGTTTTATTTCATTGTTTGTGGCCCGTGCAAAATTCTATTGTCCAGCTGCCCGGCATAAATGAACAACAAATCAGAAGAACCAGAGAGACACTTTAACTGATTAAACTGGGTCTGGAATTTTCCTTTTACTGCTAAATTGTCACCTTATTGCAATTATTTTTACACATTGTGATTATTTTTACATGTTGTGATTATTTCTGCAAAATTAGTCAGAGGACTAAGGCTATATAGCACTCCATATTAAAATCTTAAAATATCAAGCCCAGTAAAGAGTTCAAAAGTTGTCTTTTCTCCCTAAAATTATTTAAATCAGCTCATTAGTGGAGTTTGGGTAAGAAGGCTTTGTTTTTTAACTGAAGACTTACCGTTTTTTGGTGGTTTTTTTTTTTTTTTTTCCTTTGGTAAAAATTATTTGGCCTAAGGAACTTTGTCATAAATTGAAGGAAAATAACACGATTTTGTTACAAAATGAAGTGAAGGGCAAAATAGAATGAAAATTCAGTTCACATTTGACCCAGAGAGTAATTTAGAGCTAGATAAATAGGCTGTAGTACATAGGAGGAATTTCAGAAAATATTAGAACAATAAATATAAAATTTAACACATGAAAACATTTTTGCTACATTCAAGGATCTCCTTTAGATGTACAGGGTAAAGCAGGACATGTCATCTGAAGATGAGGGAAATATCATGTTTCAACCAAAACCAGAGATGTATCTTTATCAAGACAAGGTGTATGTAGACAACATGCAAAACCAGAACTAAAGTGTACAGATGCATGAAATGTGCACTGCACAACTCCAGGGGGAGCCATTCGGTATGAATGTGCCTTGATTAAATCTTATTAACTTTGTGCCATCTATTCAGGAATATTCAATTGCAAGAAAGTCAGAACAAAATTTACTTTTTTAGGACCTAAAATTTAAAAAAAGAAGTGTTGCAAAGTCAAAGAAAATTGACAGATAATAGATTTAAGTCCACTAAGTTTCATAAGCTACACACATAAGCGATAAAATTTCATTAGAGGAGCCTACCTAGAGTTGAATTGTAGAGTGATTTTTAAGGTATGTAAGAGAACAATTTTCAAATGCTTCAGGAACATTCCCTACCAACAGACAAATAATTTGTTATGATATGTGGTCATTTTCCAGACATAAGAGTAAATCTGGCTAGAATTCCCCCTATCTGGTTATACCTAAGTAACTACTTTTTGTACTGGACAGTAATAAAATGACATATATTTTCAAAAATTGTGCTACTCAGCTTTGTCACCAATTTAGACTCACTTTTTTTTTTTAATCTTATATGTGTATTCATGAGGTTTAAGTGCACCTTAGGGAGAGACTCATGTATTTGTTTCATTCTAATTCTATCATGTTTAACTGAAGAAAGTAAAACTTCAGCTAGCAAACTATTTCAAATGGCAAATTTTTACTGACAGGTGCCATCTCTACTGAGTCTGTCAGTCTCTTAAAAAAGTACCTGTTCTTGTCACCTAACTTTATAGGCAAATATAAAAGATGTCTGGATGATTAACACCAGGTGATCTACATATGTTAATATATGCCAGAGAAGGACCTTTAACTCTTCCTTTAATTACTTTGGTTTCCTTGGCCTGAACAAAGGAGCCCCGATTATCCAGACCACTGCCAATGCCAACTGGTTGATCATCGACTCAAGATATGGCCTCACTGATGGTACAAGTGGTTAAGTCTCAGCACTATGAAGCTACCAGCAGCCACTGCAGCACGAGGTCAATCCCCAGCCATGGCACAGCAGACCTCTCCTATCTCACCCGCTGCTCCCCTCAGTAGTGTATTTCAGTCGATCAGCCTGTTCTGCTCCCCACTCTGCCTCTGGTGAATCCTCTCACACACGCACCCCCCACACCTCTGCCTTACACCCCAGCTCTAATATGCATAAAAAAATAATTCTTTTTAAAAAAGAAGATTTGTCCATAAGAACAAAGCAACCCTGTTGACTAAAACCATATAGGTCCAAATCTTTTTCTTAGGTGTGTTTCCTCATCTGGACTAACCACTGCTCTACCCAGGCAGGAAAACCCAATCCCCAGTTTATATACACACCAACAGGCATTCAGATATTCTGTCAGCAGGGATTAGAAATATGAATTTCTCTTGTGGTGAGGGACTTGTCACTTATATCTCAATAAAAGGAGGGTGGGGGGAGAGAGAGAGACTTCTTCTGCAGGGCAAGGAATCCCTCCACTGGCATCTCTGGTATGGGAAATGGCTGGAATTCTCAGAGTGCCAAGGTGCAGGCGAATGATTAACACATCTCCATCAATCACTGCAGATTTAAGGTTTAAATATGTACTAAAAATGGCAGGGGCTCTTGGGTCTGCTATTTATAAATGCAGGCCTTTTTCTTTTGCCTCTCCTCCACCTCCTCCTCTGGATCAAAGAGAGAACTCGGAGTCACTGAAAAACAATGGTAAATGTTTGCATTGCTGAAATTCACGCTGGTGCCATAAGTGGATTTAAGGCAGACTGGGCTCTATAAACAAAATAAAAAGATGGCATCCAAATGAAAATATGTAGAAAAGATACTGGGGGAAAAAATGCTTCGGAGAAGCAGTCTGGTTAGTTGTAAAATGACTTTAAATTAGGCTTTAAAAAGGATTGCTAAATCTTGACACATATATGAGCAGCTTATTATCATGCAATTGTGCCGTAGTTGCTTGATCTTGTTACTGATTCGTCACATATGAATAAATGATTAATTACCAGAAAGGCTAAAACAGAGTAGAGTGAGAGTACTGATGCTCACCCTGAAAGAGGGGCTTAAACACGTTTATTGCCCTTTAAGTGCATTTCATTAAGGCCAATTAAGGACTTTCATGTCTTATTAGAAAAATGAAGTAGATTTATGAGGTTTTCGTAGGTTGTAAATGCTGGGGCTAGCAGATACAAAACCGAGCAGAAATGTGGTAGTTAAGAGCTAAGAAAATATATACGAATGCTCCCAGAAAGCAAATATTTAATGGCAGTAAAAAGCCAGTTCAACATGAAGGCGATCTTTAAATAAAGAAAGGGCCTAATTTTTATTACTTATTATCTAGTCACTGTAAACTTCAGGATTTGCACACTCATGGGAAAGGTTTCTCTCTGTAGTTCAGAACCCTAATTCCAGGTTGGTGGGGGAAGATAAGTCGGGGGGAGGGGAGGCTAGAGAGGGAAGAGCTAATCCTAAAATGGCCTAAGAGCCAGAGTCCTTTCCTCAAAGCATCGGCATCTGCCAATAAAAATATTCTTCTAATTCCAGGGTGAAAAACGCATTCTTGAAAGAGAGGAAGCTGGGAAGTAAATCCAACACAGACGTGGATGTTAATAAATAAACAGCAAACAAATTTCACTGGCGCTGGTGTGAGCCCCGGGCCTGACTTCCACTTTCTGGTCCCGTCAGAGGGTGTCAGAGCATTAGCCCCACCAAATGGTCATCATCCACCCTGGATTCGAGGATTCATTTTCAAGGCAAACCACCAAGACAGGTTAGTAAGCTTTTTCTCTTGCCCTTTGAGTAATGGTTATCACCCCACACCATTGTAGCCTTGGGTTGATTTATTTATTCAACATTCCAGCAGCAACTTTACTCTTTCTCTTTCTCTCTCTCTTTCACTTACACACACACACACACACACACACACACACACACTCACACACACACACACACACATGTGCTTAATATTTTCTGTGGATACTCTTGCGACTGTAGGAACATGCATGTATGAGTGTTTGTAAAATGCACATTTTTACCTTGCACAACATGATGGAAAGCCTCCACTCTTTTTTTTTTTTTTTACATACCCTCTTGGATAAATAATTTAAAACCATATGAAACTCCTTCAAGGAAATATCAACTGAAGATGTACACTCACAACTTTTTAAGCTCAAATCTCTCCTCCTCTAAAAAAAAATAAATAAATGAATATTGGCAAGACAGGAGATTATGTCTTCCTGATTTTTTTTTCTAAACTCAAGAGAAGTGCCATACAGCACATGAAAGATATCCAAAACTCACCAACAGTTTTGTAGCACTTTTAAATAAGCATCTCGGTTTTGCCTGTTGAAAACTCATTTGTTGCCACATGCACAAAAACAGACTGAACATGGGATTTTTGTACTTCTTCAAGGACAAGGCAAATTTTTCTGCTGAAAACCTTTAAAATGGCATTACTAGAAGATTTAACAGCAGGGAATCAGATTAACTGCTGTCTTAGAAGAAACAATGAAGAGGGGGTCAATGATATGTATAAATAAAAGGACCTAAATGCACATCCCTGGCAAAAAAAAAAAATCAAAACAGCAACAAACACATAAGACAGCAAACAAAATATTAATTTCAATGTCCTTAGTATAACTCTATTTTGTACTGTGAATTTGATTTTCCAAACAAATAATGGCCTGGACACAGACCTAAAGCAACTAGCCATGTATCTGTTCAGACTCTGCAAAGAATTTTATTGAACCGAAATGTGATGAGCATCTGTCCTTGGTGATTTATTCCAAACAGCAGAGATGTTATAAAATGAACACATTGCATCTCCTGCTATAAAAGAGAAACAAAATGATCTTTTAGTTAATATCCAATCAAACTTCAAGACACCTTATGGAACACAAGGATTTCATGGGATCATTTCATTCCTTTGCACCTTTCTCCACAATGCTAAAACAGGATTAACTTAAGAATTTCTAAAATGCAGAGCTAAATGCGTATAACGGGTTTTGTTTTTTTCCAGATCAACAGATGCCACTTGATTTTTATTTTTATTTTGACAACCCAAACTGTAGGCCCAGGCTAGGGTGCTAATTACCAATAAGTTCTTATTAAAGAACCAAGAGTGCTTTTTTAGAAAGTTCAATACCAATTTGGGCCTCCGGGCTACTGAGTTACAAATAGGAGCAGAACCTTTTCAAGTCCAGGATTGGATATACATTTTGTCAGGCACAATAGACTATTTCTGGGAGAATTGCTGCTAAAAAGAAAAAAGAGGTTGGGTTTAAAAGCCTTCAAAGACTTCTAGCCTGTGAGTCTTGTTCCACAAAAGAATTTTCAGATGACTTGTGGTACAGATGAATCCCAAATAAATTAATGCCCACGGGACATTAAAATTACAATTCGCGCCCCAAATATTTCCACAATACAGCAGTTTGAGATTGTCAAATAAAAACAATACAGGTTTTATTTAATCTATCCAATTTATTTTTAAGAAGTTCATTAAAACTAGGGAATTAAACTTTCAAGTGATGAAAAGGTAATTTCTGTTTATATCCAACTCAGAAAAAAAAAGTCTCAAATTATTAGAGTTAGAACAAAATGAGTTTTTAATATTAGGCAAAGAGAATGCTTTCTATTGAATCATAGAACTAAATCTGCCAACACAAAGAATAGGGATGAGATAAGGGAGGATTTAGCATATTCCAGAAGAGCTGGAAAATTTCAAACCTGATGTGGACTGATTGCTCTGAATTTTTTAGGTTGGTTGTCCATAAATCTTCGTTGTAATGAAAAAGCTGCCAAGCCTGGCATTTTCATTTCGGCTCTTCAAATTCTAATGAAATTCTATACATAGAATTTCATGTATAGAAATTCTATGTATAGAATTCATGAAATTCTATGTATAGAATTTCATATTTGGCATACCTAGTACATATGGTTAGGTAACGCTTTGTGGCACCACCTTGGGGTAGAAAATTTTGAAATAGAGGAGCAACTTCAAAGAAGTAGATATAAATCTGATCAGCCCTTGAAATATTAAGACTGGCTTTGGAAAAACCCCCAATCTCATTTCAAGGTAACCAGCGGTATTTCAGTGACAAAGACCTAAGGACTTAAAGCAAAGGTCACAACCAACCAACCTCCCAAGCTACATTTCAGCCTTGTATGGCTGATTTTGTAGGGTCACATTGTGTTTTTAAAGCAAGTTGGCCAATATGTAAAAATCTGATTTTATCAGGTTTCAGCTTCTTTTGAAAAATTGGAAGATCTGAAACAATGGGCCCAAATTGTCTCTGGTAATAGTGGGCAGGAACAGAGTGTGTTCGATTTCTCTAGTCCCCTCCAAGCACCCGCCTACCCCCCACCTCCAAGTCCCTATCTTCTAAGTACAGCTGCTCCTCCTAGATGTCTGGCCCTTTAGCTTGGGTCCCAGGCTCATAGTCTCTCATCCTTTTCTCCAAACTCCTCAAGATGGTCACATTTCTTATTTCAGAGAATGGCTAACCAGAAAGAAAAAAGAACTGAAAGATACGTAGAGACAAAGTGACTTACCTAAAAGTCGGTTACGAAATAAAATTCTGAATATTGATTCAGCATATTTTTAATGAGCAAGCTAGGGCCACCTGGTTTTGTCAGTAAATTTTCACTAGAATATTGCCACCTTCACTTGTTTACATATTATGTAAGTTTGCCTCAGACCACAATTTTGAGAGCCCAATGACCTATAAAACCTAAATATTTTATCTTGCCCTTTACAAAAAAAGTATGCCAACTCCATCCCTCCAGTACTCTAGATTTAGGGATGGGCTCCCATTTCTAGAGCTCACAAATGATGCTAATGCTTCACTTAGGGACCCTTGCTCTTTCCCATAGTGCTTTGCATCAGCTAAGGTCAACTGCCTGAGCCCATCACTTTATTTTCTGGGTAGGTGTGGCCACAGTTTCAAATTCAGAAAGTATTCCATTAATAGAATTATTTCTTCAGTAATATATACCTAAGACTTGGAATATCCTTGCTGCCCACCTCAGGAGATGCCAGTGCTGACAGTAATTATGAACTGGCTGGATCCTGGTTTACTTTAAAAAAAAAAAAAACAACAACAACAACAACAATGAGAACTCTTTTTTTATAGATTTTATTTATTTATACAAGCACTGGGGTACAGGTCAGAGGTGCGGGAAGGTGAGAGAATTCACCAGAGAGAGCGGGGAACAGAACAGGCAGACTGACAGAATACACTGCTGAGGGGAGCAGCTGGCGAGGCAGGAGAGGTCTGCCACACCACGTGGGTTTCTCCCTGGCTGGCCAGGAATCGAACCCACACTGCAGAGGCTGCAGACAGCTTCACAGTGTGATGGTCAACCTGCTGCACCGCCGGGGAGGCCCCTGGTTTACATTTTTAAAATAATACATTCAGGGAGTTAAATTGCTTTATTTAGCAAATATTTTTTTATCAAATGTTCCATGTAGCCCAGAGGATCTCAAAATCCAATTTCTTCTACTTTGTTAAAAGCAATAAATTCGATAGAAAGGAGGGTCAAATCAATAAAAGAAAAATGACACAGGCCAACAGATTGATAGGAGTTGTACTTCCTGCCCCAGCTGACAAAAATATCATAGCACTAGGGCCTATCTGGTGGTGCAGGGGTTAAAGTCTCAGCACTATCAAGCTATCACCAGCCACTTTTCACTTCGGCATGAGGATCCCCGGCCAGAGAGCTACCCACATGGTGCAGCAGACCTCTCCTGTCTCGCCTGCCGCACCCCTCAGCAGTGTGTCTCAGTAGATCCACCTGTTCTGCTCCTCACTCTGTCTCTGGTGCATCCTCTCACCACCTTCCCTGCATCTCTAGCCTATACCCCAGTTCTTGTATGCATAAATAAATAAAATAAATCTAAAAAAATTCATAAAATTAGCCAACACCTAGTTAGGTCTTACTCTGTGCCTTCTAGTGAACATGACTTTGTCATGTGGCATTCACAGGAACCCCATGAGATAGGTGTTGTTACCCTCAAACTCATTTTATAGAGGAACAAACTGAGATTTAAAGAGGTTCAGCAATTTACTCAAGGTTAAGATGCTAATTAAGAGCAGGACGAGACTAGAATTCAGGTCTGACTTCAGAGACAGCTCCATTGAGATCTCATGAAGCAAAAGAGATTGTCATTGAGACAAACTTCTTTCCTATAGAAACTGATCAATGAAGCTGGAGAGGGTAATGCTAAATGAAATAAGTAGGAAAGAGAAAGACAAATACTGGACAGTGTCACATATATATGGCATATAGAGAAATCCAACAAGGGATCAGGTAAAGCCAAACTAAGAGCTAACCCCAGAAAGCTGACTATACAACTGACACATCCATATTGGGAGGGGGAAAGGCCAGGGGAACATGGGGAAGGCGTGCAATGGATGATGGCGGTGAACTATGGATGTCTTGGTGTGATGGCGGGTGTGTTGTGGTAACAACACCTAAGAAGGGAGGTCCTATATGTCTAATACACAAGCAATGATGTAAAGCAATGCTACCTCAATGAAAAAGAGAGAGAGAGAGAGAAAGAAATGAGTAATGAGTAATCATGGCTTAGTAAGGTTACTGGTTGGAACTTTAGGTCCAAGATTGCTCAAATTCCCAAAGCTCACTCAGATACTGTGCATGCAAAGGAAATCACCTTCTGTTCAGTTAACATTCATCCTTCCATTTGAACTTTATGTATAATTATGATGAGCAATAGTGAGTCAAAAGGAGAGCAAATACCTGAAGATTCTG